TCGGTTGCAATGCATTGCCAAAAGCCGCACGAATTTTGTCAATAATAGTCCTGATTTTAAACAGACTGTCACCTCCGGTATTCGTCGAATTGACGCTAAAATGCAGCATTCTCAGTTAAATCAGAGGAAGTTCTCGGTTAAATAGCAAACAGACATTGTGCTACACAGAACTGGAAACAATACAGACAAAAGAAAAGAATTTCAATGGAAGCGCTTCCGCGAGCCGCCCTTCACATTAGGTATATTTGGAAAACCCGGAATTATCCACCTTTCCCTATCTGTAGAAAGGAAATTCACTAGAAAGAAGCAAAGAGGCAGAGCGCGCTATAAGACGTCCGGAGGCCCCCAGAAACGGCCCGGCACCGCGCCTATACACGTCAAGAGGCTGCAGGTAACATCACGTCACCGAGCCTTAAGGCGTCCAGAGGCTCCCAGAAACAGCCCGGCGACGCGCCATAAGGCGTCCAGAGCAGCAAAAAGGTTAAATAATATAACAGGCAAGAGATATTCCTCCATAAAAGCTTGTATTTAAAATTTTGTTTCCTTATTTTATTTCCATTTTTAAATTAAACACATCAACCCCTTTAACACTTTGATTTTTTAAAATATCTCTCACTCTTCCCTAATCCTCCTGAATTATCATTTTCTTTCCCTTCAGAGTTCACAGAGTGAATAAATTAAAAATCAAATTCATTCATTCCTAAACTCACCATTTCATTCCAAATTTGAATAATGATCAAGAATTTGGAATAAAAACTAATTATGAGATCACAATTTACTGCTTATATACACACAAGCACACCTATATTTAAAATAACCTACAGTATGATAATGCAAAATTATTTTGTACAAAAACTTGTCAGAAGAATCAAAGTAAATCAAATCTGAAGTTTATTTTTAATAAATCACTGCAACACCCCTACCATATGGATGCGATAAACAGTTTGAAAACCCTTGTACTATAGTATTACATTGTCTACATGTATTATAATATGTACTATTTGGTGGTTAATAACTTTGTTTTGTTTTGTAATAATTTTCTTCACTTCGTAGAGACTGACCGGGGACAACACATACAATATGAAAACGAATACATGTAAAGTGAGAATACATGTTGTGTCTTTACAAGTGAAAATCAAACTCTGCTCATAACCAGAAGGTCGCTAGAATCACCACAATATCTAATGAAGTAAATTTATTTGCTGAAATTCAAAGAATGTCAATTACTTTTCATTGCGAATTAAACTTTATAAGAGATGGTTACTCTCACCTTGTCCAGGATATCAACACGATTGGTAGCAGCCAGAACTACAACATTTGTGGTGGTGTTGAAGCCATCCATTTCAACAAGAAGCTGGTTCAATGTGTTCTCTTGCTCAGAGTGGCCTCCAAAGCTGCGACCACCTCTTTTACGGCCAACGGCATCAATTTCATCAATAAACAAAATGCAAGGGGCATGCTTTCGGGCCATAGCAAACATATCACGTACCCTACTGGGTCCAACACCTGCATAAGTACATCCACACTAAATGTTAATAAACAGAATGAGAAATTTATAACTCTACTAGAGAATTTACATTCTAAAATGGAAGATAATGATGCTCCCCATGAAAATGAGAATACAGTAAAACCTCTTTTCTTACATTTTCAGATGACCAATGAAAGAAAAGAGTAAAAAGCAGGAAAGTTAAAAGATGAGAGGCTAGGTGCGTACTTACATTATTTAATTAAATTGTGGCTCTGTTTTCACTTTATAGCCTTATTTTATAAAAAGAGAAAGTATTATAATTGTGCGCCGGGAAAGAGAGAATTTTTGACAGAAAATCTCTAATTGA